GGCTTGAGGAGGGTTGGACTATAAGACCTCTAAGGTCCTGTGGCTATGGGTGGTGTATTTATTGCCTGCAATGCAAAAATACCCTGAATGGCCACCGGAGGGCACTGTTTTTATTCCCTTTGCTATGGCTTGGGGTGGGGACTGGCCCAAAGTCAGCTGATGAGCTTCCATTTTTTTTTCCTGGGTGCTATTCCAACACTTGAATTGTGGCACTCCTGTTTGTTTTATTTGCCACCCACTTGCCATGAGGAGACCCTGGGCGGCTTGCATACGAATAATAAAAAGCATTGAAATATATATTTAAGTGCAATAAAGATACAGGTTCTGATTGAAAGATGGAGAGGGCGCAGCATGTATTGGGGGGGTGAGGGGTGAGATGAGCTATTAGTCCAGCAAACGCTTTCAATGTGCTATTTCCCCATTGGGGAGTTTCTAATGGACACAGGCTTTAAATTGCAGGTTATAAAATCATCACTAGAGAGAAAACAGTATGAGATCTCTCCATCCGTTGGAGTTCACAACTGTGTGGCAAATCTTTCTTGAAACGAATAGCATTTGGGTGGGGGTAGTAATTGCTATTCAATAGTTGACAACTAGACAGCAATAATACTCATGGGTTAGAAACTAGTTCTGTTTGCCCTAGCGATGTCTAGGGAAAATAGGGATTTAAAGGTCATTTTGTAGAATTCACATTGAAATGCTTCTTTAAACCAAATGAAGTTTATTAAGAGATTAAAAATGAGCTAGAAAATAACCGAGTCTTTAATAGTAGAATAAATTATTTTCACACTGTCTGCTCCAGTCAAGAATCTTGAGATTGAGTTTCATCTTCAAAGGGCACTGCCGAAGATGTCTGGCCTGCTGCTTGGAAACGGTCTGTGTATTTTCAAAAAGGCTGTTATCCCACTGGGCTATTATAGGGCAATTTTTCCACCAAAATGCCTGGAAGCTGTCACGCCAACTTCGTACACAACACTAAACTCTCATTCTTCTATCTTTTCCCTCAACGACGGCTCTTCTTTCTGCCCTTTGCTCCATTCACACAGGTTTCATCCTCAACAATATATAAAAAAAGTAAAAATAAAACCAAACCACTTGTTTAGTTTTTGGCATCAGCCAAGACCAACTACCTGTTATGAACTGTTATGTGCTTTGTGCAGAAAACCATTCGGAGTGTGGAGTTTTTGGATAATGAAACATTTAAGGCAAAGTGCACTGTTATATTGAAGAGAAAGAAAACGTGTCAAAAACGGAAACAGCCATTCAACACAGGTTGAAGAGTCCGAGTCCAACCATTTAAATACAAAATCAAATACTTTAATGAAATTAAGGAACAGGAAGACAGCTCAGATATACCACTAAAACGGATATTCTTGTGCTGCACACATTTCTCTCTTAATATAAACACTTTTTCTTCAGCAAGCTAAGAACAGACAAAAACAATCATTTCTTCAGACTTTTGGAAAAGATCCTGAGTAAATTTTTATTTAATTAAACCACGTAAAAGGTTAAGCTCTATGAAATCATCCGCAGCTTTGAATTGGTGGCCAGCACCAGGATTTTTTTTTTCCTTTTTAAAAAAACACACTTTCAACAGGTGGAATTTAAATACTATTCCATTGTTCTTTCTGCTGGGGATAAAAAATAATAACAATAATAAGTAGTAGTAGGCCGGTGGGGGGGAGAGAAAAAAACCTCCAGTTAAGGAACATAAACATTTGCATTCTCAGGATGCGGGTTCCTAGTTCCAAAGATTACTTGAAACAGATCTGCACTTTGAAAGGGGTTAAAGCTTTTTCTCCATCCTTCCCATTTCATCATCAGATGCTTCTTCCCTCCGAGACGGCCTAATATAGGCACTAGATTTTAAGAATCCAGAAATCACCTTTTCTGTAAGAACAATGCAAACAGGTTCACTGTAAGAAAAAAAAAGAGAACAGGGGAAAAAAAGAGAGAAAGGAAAACGCTGTTAGCACCAAGCAAAAAAATGGTTTGTTTTGGTGGTTTTTTTGGGTAGGTGGGTGGTGGTGTTTGACCTTCCAAGATCCTCTGTGGTGAGAGAGAAAGAAATATTTCATAAAAAGTTGGGAAGGGAGGAGAAAGGGAATCTCAACCCTCTGAACAGTGTCCTGAGGTTTCCCCTCCATAGGATCCGACGCAGGTCACAATCCCTGCTTCGACAGCTCAAAGGGACATCACACCAGCAGGAAGCAGACACAAAACCCAGCAGACAAGGAACAGCCCTATATCGAGACAAGGGTGGAAGCAGCCAAAGAGGGTCCCGCCTCAATCCTCCTCGTTCGCCCTTGCAAAAGGTCCATGCCCTTAAGTGAAGGTGTATGTAAGGCTCCAGAGTCCGGCCTTAGGCAAAAGGGGGGCTTGGCTGAGGCCGGGAGAGTATACAGAGCTTTGGCTGTGTTGTCTGACTTCATCTCCGGTGTCGGTTGTGGCTGGGGTGATCTCTATCGTAGTGATGGCTCGGCCTGTCGTACGGGTGGTGCCGCTCGGGCCGTTGATCCCTGCAGTAGTGGCTCTTCTTCCGGTACTTGCCGGTGTGCTCAGAGCGTTCCCGCGAACGACTGCGGGACCTCGAGGAGCTGCGGCTGCGGGACCGCCGGGCTTTGGGAGAGCCGTACTTGTTGTATTCCTTCTCCTTCTTGTAGTTTCGCAGCTTGGAGCTTTGGTAACTGCAGGAGGCCGTGTGGCCGAACTGGCGGGGAGGCGAATCGCTGCGGCTCCTCGAACGGCTGTGCGACTTGGAGCAGCTGGAGGTGGAATAGCTTTCACTTTTCCTTGGAGGGGAAAGGAGATAAGACAGGTTACCTGTCGTTGTCCCGCCAGGGGCATATTTTAAACTTTGAACGATTTGCCTGGCTATGTTGTGGCTCACCGGCAGCCTGTGCAGGCGGCAGCAGCATTGGAAGGTGGGGAAGAACGGGGACCAGTCAGGGAGTGGCTTTCCATTCCCCAGGTTAATACAGCTTGATACTTTGATTTAAAAAGACCCTTTCGATTGTTGTCGTCGCTAAAAAGCAACTACCAGTAGAAGCAACGCTCGCAGCTTTTGGCAGCCTACCTCTTTTTGGGGGAAGGGGAGTGCGACGTGGATCGAGAATAGCTCTGCTCTCTGCTTCGACTGCGACTCCTGCTGTCGCGGCCTTTCTGAACCCTGCAAATTCGAAGAATAAGGGAAGTGTGGATACGTTTCCTTTTTTTTTTTTTTCTATCCCTCTTCTTTTTGCACAGGTAAAACAATGAACTTTCACGGCAGAGGGTAATCTTAAAAATAGGGTCTCACTACAGCAAGGTTCCCCCAACCTGGGCCCCTTTAAGGTGTGTGCATCAGGATTCCAGCAGTTCCCCCAATTAAATCATGAGTCTCAAGCTAAACTTCCAAAACTTCAAAAGGGTTTATTGGGAGTTAATATGTCCGGCACTGCCTGGGTGTAGCCGACTCTTGAGACACACAATTCATTGTCACCCTTGACCCTGGTTTTCCCCCCACCCCCTGGGTGTGTCATAAATCATATCCTCCAATGGGACACATCCATAGCCCAGAGTCATCAATCATGCTCTCCAGTTAGAATTCTGCGGGGCAGAAACTTCAGTCACCTAGTTACTATCTTTCAAAACATTTATGGAATGCACTTTCAGTTTTGCAAGCTGCTGCTCTGCTCCCCCCTCCCTTTCTGTTGGCAATTCTAAAAAGACCAGAGAAATATTTTATGAGTTGACAGTGTGGACTTCAACTCCCAGAATTCCCCATGGTTGGCCAGGGAATTCTGGGAGTTGAAGTTCAGACATCTTAAGAGTGGCCCAGGTTGGGAAAGACTGCATGGGACAGAGAGAGGAAAGTATCTGGATGCAAACCTTACCCATTAATCGGACTTTTTGACCTCAATCTCTTCGTCCCTTCAGTCTTCCTCTTTGCGTTTTTGACCACCTGCGCAGCCAGCGGAGAAGGCTTAATGCTGCCTTTGGTGTCTTTTGGAGATTCTAGAGAGGGAGAAGTGACAGAAGGTCAGGAAACGCAGCCAATCCGGGAACGTTCCAAATGTAGGCAAGCGCTGCAAGCGTAGGCAAGGAAGGGATTGCAAGAGAGTAAGCAGGCACAGAGTTGAAGTCTAGGCCAAGCTGGCTGGAGAAACCTGGGAGCTGAAGCCCACAAGTCTTAAAAGTTGTCAGGTTTGGGGACCCCTGTTCTAATGCAAGGGACACCCACCTGGTTTGGGGACGGGAGAAAAACCGGACACTGAAAGATGGGGCGTTCCCTCTGGCACGAGGCCCTTGGCCTGGGCTTTTTCCTCTTCCATGGCCAGCCTCCGCTGCTCAACCCGGTTTTCCAGGATGGCCAGGTCCATCTGAGAAGCCAAAGAGAGAGAGAGAGACACGAGGCTTTAGGGCAACCTTTGCTTACCTGAAGGGAAAGGCAGGTCGATGGGGAGGAAAAGGACCCAGGAATAGGAAGTACAGGTAGTCCTCGACTTACAAGTTTGTTTAGTGACCATAAGTTACCACAGCACTGGGGGGGGGGCATTTTCTACACTGCTGCAGCATCCCCAGGGTCATGCGATCAAACTTCAGGTGCTTGGCAACTGACTCGTATTTATGACGGTTGCAGTAACCTTCTGACCAAAGCAAAGTCAACGAGGAAGCCAGCTTCACTTTTTAACAACTGCAGGGATTCCCTTAAACAACAGTGGCAGGAAAGGCCGGTCGTACAACGGGCCCAAGCTCACTTCACAAACGGTCTCGCTTAGCAACATAAATTTCAGGCTCGGGGGCCTAAGCCGAGGATGACCTGTATTCCTCCCCCTCCCCCCCTACGGAAATCAAGAGAAGGGTTCCCGGGTCGCGGGCTTGAGAAGGACGGCTGGATGGACGGAGAAGCTGGCTCTCCGTACCCTTCCCAGCCACCAAGTGGACCAAGGAGAGAGACGAGAGCCTGCCAACCGACCACCGTGGCCTCCCACTTCAGAGGCAGCTACTGACCTTCTTCACTGTGTAGAGTTTCAAAATTTTCAGGCAGACTTCTTGAATTTCCTCCTCGGTAGCCCCGAAGAGAAGAAACCAGTGAGGACGATTTGGGAGAGGAATCTGCAAAGCAAAGGCATCGCTCGTTCATCAATCGGGATGGAAGGGGGTGAGGTGAGGGGGGGAATCGGCATGGTTTTCGTAGGAACCCACGCCTGAAAACCTTTTATATCCTAGCCTACTTTTCTACATTGCTTTCCTCTTCTGTGAGAAGAAGAAAAAGTCATTCAATGCTCAATACAGGAAAAATAACAGAATTAACAAAATTGGAAGGGGCCTTGGATGGCTTCTAACCCAACACCCAGCTCAGGCAGGAAACCAGAGGTGGGTCTTCAGCAGGTTCTGACTGGTTCTGGAGAACTGGCAGAGGAAATTTTGAGTTGTTTGGAGAACCGGCCAATCCCACCTCTGACTGGCCCCGCAAACCCCATCTCTTCTCTGCCTCCCATCGAGTCCCAGCTGATTGGCTGGGTCTCCTTGGGTTGCCCTGAACAGGAGAACGGAGCTGGAAAGCAGGCTAGTGGGGCGGGGAGGGAAGGGGGAGTTTGCAGTATATCCTTCCCCTGCCACGACCACAGAACTGGTAGTAAAAAAATTTTTTTGAATCCCATCACTGCAGGAAACCCTATGCTATTTCAAACAAATGGATGCCCAGTCTCTTCTTAAAAAACCTCCAGTGTTAAAAGAGCCCCCACAACTTCTGGTAGCCAGCCGTTCCACTGGCTAACTGTCCTGTCATTAAATTTCTCCTTAGTTGGTTGTCTCCTTGCTTCGTTTCCATCCACTTGCCCGGACTTCTGGTGCTTTGGCGAATAGGCTGACACACATACGCCCTCCCCACCTTCTCAAAAAGTCTATTCTTTTTTTAAAAACAAAAACAAACACCAACCTGAAGAGTCCGAGCAGCAAGGTAAATGCAGGCACAAGCTATCGTCTCCGGTTGATATCGCAAAAAAACATCCGTCCGCAGGCTGTCGTTCATGTAATTCCTGAGATAATTGGAGAAAAAAAAGAGAAAGGGGTGGAAGGAGTTGCTAACCTGCTCCCCACCCACCCCGAAAAAAAATTTTTTTTACTTCCTGTACAGAACTAAGCCTCCTCTTGCAATCTAACGGAGCTCACTTTTTTCCTGCTAGCTAACCCTGTGAACCCCAACAAGATGGAAAGGGAACGAGCGGCTTCCGTCTCGCAGAATCTCTGGAACGTTACCCAGCGCACGTGGGCATTTTTTAGCGAATGAGAACCTGTTTTTAACTTTCCTTTGGCTACAATCTACCGGCCTGCTCTTACGGCAAGCACAAGGTTACAGCGATCAAGTCGTAGCGGTCCGGAGACTCTGCTGCCACAACGCGTCCAATGCAAAGACAAAAAGAGTTCAACGGTTTTGGAGGAGGAGGAGGAGGAGAAGAGGGGGAGCAGAAATCCAGAGCTTTTCCAACCGCCGGCCTCTTCCATCGGGGAGATTCTCCGTTTGGGGAAAACCATTGGGCCCAAATCCGTCGTGAGGGAACCAGCCGGGGAATAAAACAACGTCCATCCTTTTGCCAACAGGGGGTGGGTAGGTGCAAGAGTCAAGTCGAACGTGGCTTTGGTTTCTCCTTGGGCTGTTCTTAGCCACCCGGCGCTGTAACAAGGTCTCTCAAAACAAATGTTCACAGAATGAAGTAGAAATACACAGCACGGTGACCTCTGTTTTGCACACACTGGAACACGAAGGGCAATATGCAAAGCAACACAGCACATTTTCACCACCTCCATTTTTTTTTCTCCTCCCAAGTTGTCGTCCGCTGGATGGGGTCAACCAGGCTAGAAGACAAGGCCGTATTACGCTATGGGCACCTATGGTCGGCCTCTTGGGTGGATCTTGGATTTCTCTTTGGGGAAGGGAAAAGCCGGAGCTCTCGGATTCGGGTTAAATGTCAGCGTTCCCACTAACCAACTCCAAACCAATAAACTCCGAAACGATCCATTCTTCAAAGGTCCGTTTGATTAGAGTTGTCATACTGGCACAAGTTGAATCTGAGCGTTCAGAGTTTTCCCTTCCCAAAAGAGAAATCCAAGATCCATCCCCTGCACCTATCAGTCCCCATCATATGGCCCAACCAAATCGTTGTCCCAACTGGAGACACTCCCCCCACCCCCTAGGTGCAGGGCAACATGTCCTCGATTCTGTGAGAATATTGTCGTCTCTGTTTTTCGACCCCATTGTGAAATCCCCCCTCCCCAAATTCCCAGGGCTGGAATGGGGGCAGCCTTGAAGCTTCCAAGAAACAAACCAAATGGCTTCCAAGGCTGACACCTATTTCTGGTGAAGATTTTGCACACGGGGCAATTTTAATTTCTGAACTACATTCGTTTTGTCACAAGTTACAGATGCAAAACTGGAAGAACAAAGCAAAAAAAAAAAAAAAAGGCAAACCAAAAATTATTTAACAGGAATGCCTTTTCTCTTCCCAAGTACAAGTAGTCCTTGACTTACAAACCCAACGGAGCCTAAAATTTGTTGCTAAGTGAGACGTCAAGTGAATTTCATCCCGTTTTACAACCTTCCTTGCCCCGGTTGTTTAAGTGAATCCCTGCAGTTGTTCAGTTAGTAACACGGCCATTAAGTGAATCTGGTGTCAACTCATAAAATATTTCTCTAGTCTTTTTAGAGTTGCCAGCAGAAAGGGAAGAGGGGAGCAGTGTAGCAGCTTGCAAAACCGAAAGTGCATTCCATAAATGTTTTCAAAGATAGTAACTAGGTAACTGAAGTTTCTGCCCCGCAGAATTCTAACTGGAGAGCATGACTGATGACTCTTGGCTATGGAGGTGTCCCATTGGAGGATATGAATTACAATACATCCAGGGGGTGGGGGAAAACCAGGGTCAAGGGTGACAATGAATGATGTGTCTCAGAGTTGGCTACTCCTAGGCAGTGCCAGACACGTTAACTCCCAATAAATCCTTTTGGAGTTTTGGAAGTTTGGCTCGAGACTCATGATTTAAATGGTGTGTGTGTGTGTGTGTGTGTGTGTGTGTGTGTGTAACTGCCAGAATCCTGAAATCTGGCTTCCCGGTTGAAGGTTGCAAAAGAGGAATCACGTGACTTCTGGACACGGTGACTGTCATAAATATGTGAAAAATGGTCAGTGCCATCGTAAGTTCACACAGTCGCTAAATGAATTGTTGTATGTCGAGGACTGCCTGTATTTATACCCACCTGAATGGCATCTTTGACCAAATCAACTGCCTTTGGGGCATGGAAAAACCAGTCCAGGGCATGAAAGGAAGGGCTTAATAATAACCATTCTTGGATGATGGCAGTCTAAGAGCCACGAAGACGATAAGGACCCGTTGTCCAACTAACCTTTGAATGGAGCTACTTCAGTTTAGGTTAGAAGACACACCAAAATGAACTAATTGTGGTGGCATCCCAGAGTTACAAGAGCTAAAATGATCAAGGACAGCATCTGGAAACAACTGAAAAGTGTGGTTATGCAATATAAGATCTTGGACTTTTCCCTCCCCCCAACTTCCCCACTTTTATCAGACAGCAATAATTCCAGCAGAGAATTAAACATTCTAATTCAACAACAATTGAAGTCATTTTGTTCTGGAAGGCAATGATGAAGATCCAACTTTTGAAAGTCCAAACAAAAGACCTGGGCCTTTTGATGTGCATGATAGTCAGGAAAATTTACATCTTTTTTTAAAAAAATAATATATAATTACAATACAATACAAAAGCATAATAGGTTTACAGATGCAATGACCAGTGTTTTACAGCCCCATTCCCTCCCTCCCTCCCTCCCTCCCTGCCAGCCCAAACCTCAGCGACAATTTAAGAAGAGAAAATAATAATAATAGCCAACTTGTATCAAAACATTTGCACTGAACTATAAGATATCAAACATGACAGCATCAGAGCACCTGGACAGTAAGTAACACAGGCTCGTCTGGGAAAAGGGTGCAAACAAAACGGAAAAAGAGATTGGAAACAAAGGGGAAAACTAAAAATAAAATCAACAAGCAGCAGTTCGGCCAGTGTTTAACTCTACTAGCGGACGCATACCACCTGTCTAGAGAGTCAGCCTCCTCTCTGTTGGAGCCTGCTTGGGGTTTGACTGAAGACGCCAGTATTCCCTGCACCATTGTTCGTGGGCAGCAGAGGAGGTCTTAGTCACTTACCCTCAGAGGCTACACCCTTCGATCAAAAGAGTACAGAGAAAAAACAAAAAGTCAAAACAGGTTCTCTTTCAAAACCACGCCAAGACAGTTTTTATCACAATCGCTTTTTGAGATCAACCTTTATACCCTTGGGAGGTTCACGGGGTTAGCTGCTACCTTTCCTACTGCGGGGTGGTCGGGGGAGAGCCAGGACCGAGGCTCAGAAAACACCAATGTGGAATAGAACAAGAGACATTTGAAGGATCTAAAACCTGGAAGCTGGAAACGGGGACTGTTGTGCAAGGGGACCCAAAAGCCATGGGCTATAAAACAGAGGTTCCCCCAACGGTTGTGGCTTGGTGGCCTGGTGGTGAGGGGTGGGTGGGAGAGGGGAACTGGGCCACACAAGTGTCCACCAGCCTGGGCAAGTTGCACCCTAATGGACAGGCTGCTTGTGTGCACCAGCCAACCGCTGGTGTGACCCAATTCCACGACCTGGCCTAAAGCCCTGTGCTAAGCCTGCCACCCCACACCTACAATAAGACCCACACAGGGCAATGTGCTTTCATGCCCTTCAAAGTTTATTTTCCTCCTGCTTCCCCTATGCAAAATGGATTTCTTTTTTGGGGGGGACGGGGGACGTCCCCATTCCAAGCACAGATGTTCCCCCTCCAAACCCTCGGCCGGAAATTCCCCTCAAAGCCCCAGGAGAGAAAAAGGAAGAGCAAAATGGGGTGGTTGGGGGAAAATCCCCCCTCTTACCATTTAAGAGACAGTGTGTGTGTCTGACTCTTTTAACAAAGAGTCCCGTCCCCTCGAAGGGACAAGAGGTGGCGCTCCGGGGTTAAATTAAACAAAAAAAAGGCCACGAACACACGGCAGTGGAGCAAACGTGCACGCACAGCCCCCAACTATGACACACTCCTGCCACTGCCCCGCTGGCCTCAAGAGAAACAAGAAGCGTCAACTTACCATGAGGTCTGGACCAGGTGCTGGTTACGTTCACATTCTAATACCTGAAGGTACATAACGATTATCTGGAAGATACGGGTGACGGAGTTATACACGTGGCCAAGCGGCGGAGAGAGGTATTTTAATTTAGAGAGGAGGCCAGCTGAAACTAACTTGTCCTCTTTGTCAAGCTGCTGTCTTGAGCCACAGCTAATTCTAGATATGTATGCCCTCCAGCAGCAGAGAAGGGAGACTCAGGAGGACAGAGACGTAACACAAAGCATTTAACGTTTCCTGCCCTGGCTCTCTCCAGCCTGCTCAAATTTGGGCCTTCCTGTCCCAAAGGAAGTTAAAACTGGAGGGGTGCTTCAGTATCCAGCTCAAAAACTGTACGAATTGCTGAAGAGCTGAAAAAAAAAGAACTAATCTTATCTTATTTGGGGCTGCAAATGAGTAGCTGCCCAGGGAGAGGAGGAGAAGGCTTAAGGCACTCAAACTGATCCAGAAGCTGTAGCTTATATTCCAAGAAGAAAAGCAATAGCACTTAGACTTATATACCGCTTTACAGTGCTTTACAGCCTTCTCGGAGCATTTTACAGAGTCAGCCTCTTGCCCCCAACAATCTGGATCCTCGGGGTTTTTCCCCACTCCCCTCTATTCTACTTGAGTTCGGGGTTAAGTGAGGGACAGGCAGCAAGTTTAGGACGAATAGTCCACTCACCGTGCTCCCCTTCCGAAAAAACTACCAGGACTCTACTGACAATAATTTACTTTATTATTAAGATGCTGGGCTCCGATCACAAAGATGAGAGAGAGAGAGAGGGGGATGCAATTTGGTTGGGAAGCTGAATGGGAAAGTCTCGTGTTCTTTTTTCTGGCACAACCAGAGACCAAAGCCAAGCTCTTTGTGAGGTGCAGTGCAATTCAAGCGCCTCTGATGGGACACCTTTGCCAAAGAGGCTACGGATTCAAAGCACTTGAGGAGATGCAGTTTTTCCACTCCCCAGGGTTGCCAGCTTGTTTCACTCTCAAAGGTACTTAAATGTTGTTGAGTCCAAAAAGAAAAAAAAAAGGAAGCCATACAGCAAAGCAGAGAGGAAGACAGAGAACACGCTCCCTGGCACAAGGATGTGAGCATATGGGAAGACTTGATGCACAACTGAGATTTGCTTTGATACAGAAAAAGGACGGTTACCTGGATATACAAAAGGCACTCCTGTCACGCTGATTGCAACGAGCAATCCTTCACACAGAAACGTAATCAGCGCTTAAAACGGGAAGCCATCCGTTCAGTCACACGTGAAACAGTGGGCCTTAAAAGGGATTCCTTCAAATGATTGGGGGGGGGGGGGGGGGGGAGAAACCCCAACTCTTTGGTCTGAGCCCCGTCAACAGGTATACAGGAAAGAAAAACAGGAAACCCAATACGAACCTTGTGAGGATGCTTCACGTGCACGCAAAATCCAAGCTCTTTCAAAACTCTCCTCTCTGCCTTGATGATTTGGTTCTTCAAGTTCACGTATTCTTGGTCCAGTATTAGGGGTACAGGTTTCCTGCGTGAAGGAGGGAAGGAGGGAGGCCTTGGCTGAAACCTCAACAGCCTAACGCCACAGTGGGAGTCTTAGTGCCAGCTTTTGTACGGTCTGAATGGAAAAATCAGCTCAATTGAAGCCACCGCTCTTATGTTCTGGCCCAGCCACCCAAACACAACCAACCCTCTGCCGTGACCGACAGCCACAGAGAAAAGGCTCTGTCACCGCAGGCTAAGGAGCCCGTCCAGCAGAGAAAGGAACAATTGTTTGCCACACCTATCCATCTCCGCCCCCTGCCTTTTATCCCCAGAGCTAGGGTGGGGGCTGGCTTCTTCCCTCCCAAGGACCGGCCCATAGATTTCCACTGCTCTCCTCTCCTCTCTGCACTGTTCCCAGCTGTTCCTCCTCTTTCTCATCAGCCACCTCCTGGGTGCTGTGGACTCTCCATCTGAGGGCTGACAGACAGCACAGGCTCTGCCTTTGTCTCTCTTTCTGTCAGCTCCCTTCCCTCTTCCCCCTTGGAGCTCCCAGGTTGCCCTGATGCCGAACCTCTCACACATCCTCCTCCTCCGGCTGCCGAAGAGGCCGGCAGGCCACAACACCTCATCCTTTGGTGCAATCCAAAACAGTTGAAGGGAACCAGATCGAGAAAGGTTTAAAATTTCCACCTGGAACCCACAAGATCCTTTTGCCAGGCAAGCCCGAATTCACCCTTTAACAGATCCTTCAGCCACATGATGCTTCCCTCTTGCCAAGATCACCTAGAGATAAGAACCCCAGGGACGATCTCCTTTGTGAATTGGGGGGGGGGGGATTGCTACGCACCCCCTTTCCAGATGGGATGGACTCCACAATCCAGGAAAGACAGGATCCTTAAAACACCCCAAAAACGTGGCCAGAGCATGAAAGGGAAGGCAAGTGGATGTGTGGGTGGGGTGGGGGTGAGGGCATGACCGAGGCTTACAAGAATTCTTGCAAGAAGGCCGAACTAGAAACAGCGCAAACTGACCCCCCCCCCCCAAGCCCATCGCATTTCAGACTTACTTTTTCTCTCTTAGTAACCGAAGTCTGTGGAATACATTGATCACGTCCCTTATACGCCGTGGGGCTTCTTCAATTTTGGAAGCCAAATGAAGACAGGCCATCGACACATGCTGGAAAGAGACAACGGAAATTTCATTCTGAGCTGGGAGAGAACAATTTGGAGGACTGACTTTTGAGTCGGTCTTCACACAGCACATCCAATCTCACCGAGCTGCCTCTTTTTGTTTCTGAACTCAATCCAAAACAATCTCCCCCCCCCCACAAGTAATCCTCAACTTTTACTATATAACTTATAAAACTTATACTATGTCACTGGAAAGGGGGGACTTATGACTGTTTTTCACACTTATGGCCATTTCAGCATCTCCATGATCACAAGTCAGACGCTTGGCAACTGGCTACTATTTATGACCGTTGCAATGTCCCAGGATCATGCCATTCCCTTTTGTGACCTTCTGACAAACAAAGCCAATGGGGGAAGCCAGATTCGCTTAACAACCATGTTACTAACTTAACTGCAGTGACTCAAATAGCAACGGTGGCAAGAAAGGTCATAAAATGAGGCAAAATTCACTTAATGACTCTCTCGCATAACAATGGAAACTTGGGGTCAACTGTGGCTGTCAGTCAAGGACTACCTGCACTTTTAAAAAGGCTCTGCCATTATGGGATCTGGAATGTTAACTTTTCATACATACACACACACACAGTGCAACTCCAAAAAAGGTCTTTCCAAATGACCTCAACTTCACTTTCATTTTAATTTTTGAAAGAAAGAAAACATATTTCCCGAATGTTTTCGGTGAATCATCTTTTTCTGACGCAGAAGGTAGAATTTCTCGATCTTTTACAAGTTGCTTAAATGTCAGCAATGAGGGAAAAGGAGCCCATGTTTCAATCAACCCCAAATTTAGAGTCAACGTGATACATTATGGCCCAAGAGGCAAAAGACATATCGATTCATATCGAACACTGAAAGCCTGGGAACATTTGTATTCGAGATCAACAGGCAAGGAATGTCAGCTTGGGATGTCAAGCAGAGAAACTTCAGTAGTCTGATGTCTCAAAACGGCAACTGAGTTTATAGCCTCCCCACCCCGTTTCAAAAATTAAACTACGTACCTGCATGGAATGCTTCACAAATGATTTTGTATAAAAGAAACGCTGGAACAGCACCTGCCCTGTAGCCATGGCCACCTGGAAAATAAAAAAAGCAAAGCCAGGATATATATTAATACTCTTCCAATAAAAAACTTAAATGGACTATGAGCTCAGGATCTATAAAGAATCCGCAGCTGTATTTTTCCCGATCGTTGACAACTTCTCCTAGGTGTGTGTGTTATACCTAGCTCGACTTGGGAAAAACACTTCCAAAGTAACCAGGTTTTTCCTTATTTAAGGGAAGTAACTTAAAAACAATTTTTTTTTGGCAATCACACACACACTGCACAGGCTAAACTTCCCAGTGCC